TTCTTAATAATAATTAGAGTTGTGGAAAGAGCTATCTGATGAAGTGATGAGTTAAAGTGTTACAATGTTAGAATTAATGGGCATACACATACACATACAATATACACATACATACATGGCCACAATCGCACACAATACTTGGATGTTTAAAAATCTCTTTCATTCTCAATCTCCCGTTTATCATTACAAAACACTCTCAAAATACTTAAAAACACTAAAGATGTCTTTAATCTATACTAAGTTAGAAAAGTACTCACCATCAGCATTCCGGAAGCAGCTGAGGGCTTGTTGATTACTTTGCATGGATTTTACAATGTCCAGAACAGAATATTTTGTAGAAATGTACAAGCTAATTCTTAAATTAATCTGAAAATTCAAAGGACATAGAATAGTCCAAAGAACATTTTAAAGGGAGGGCAAAATTAAAGGACTACTCTGGCTGGTTTTAAGAATTACTATTTAGCTATAGTTATCAGGATGGTGTATTATTTCTGTAAGGATTGACAAGTAGTTTAAATAAGCAGAATAGAAAGTTTAGAAATAATCCCATACATATCTGTTCAATTGATTTTTGACAAAGGTACCAAATAGGAAATGCTAGCCCTTTCAATAAATGGTGCTAGAACAACTTGAGATCCACATGAAAAAATGTACCTTAATTTTTACCAAAATATACAGAGTCTACACAAAATTTAATTTATAATAAGTGATATGCCTAAACATAAAATCTAAAACTATAGAATTTTACTTTGGAGTACAGAGCAATTTATTTATCATGAAGCACAGGCAAAATATTTATATCTAACAATATACTGATATACAGAATATATAACTAACACAACTCAATAATAAGTAGATAGGAACCAGATAAAATAGATATATATTTAAGCAGACACTTTATAAAAGAAGATATAAGAATGGCCAGTAAGCATATAAAAAGATAGTTAACATCATTTGTCATTAGGAAAATGAAATTAAAACCACCATGGAATACTACTACACATACACTAAAATGTCTAAAATTAAAAACACTAACAACACTAGATATTGATGAAAATTTAGAGTGACAAGAATTCTCATACATTGCTGTTGGGAGCATAACATGGTATACCTACTCTAAAAAACTTTCGTTTTCTTAAAAGACTACACATACTTCCCCATGAACCAGCAATTTCAATCCTAAGTATTTATCCAAAAGACGTGAAACTTATTTCCATACAAAGACTTGTACATAAATGTTTATGCCTGCTTTATTCATAATAGTTAATAACTGGGAACAACCCCAGTGCCATCAATAGGTAAATAGAAAAACAAATTGTGATATATGCAAATAATGCAAAAAATGAAATATAGAAGGAATTAAACTACTGATACACACAATAATATGAATTAATCTCAAAAACATTGCACTGGGTGAAGAAAACTAGTCACCTAATATGACATACTGCATGACTCCATTTATATGAAATTCTAAAAGACAAAATTAATCTGTAGTGACAGAAAGTAGATGACTGGTTGGCTGAGCCATTGGTGAAGAGATGGGATTGACTGCAAAAGCTCAGAAGGGAACATTTTAGTCTGAAGGAAATGCTCTATATTGTGGGTGTGGTGGTGATTACACGGGTGTATTTGACAAATCTAATGGTTTTGTGGACCTTAAAAATGGTTATACTATACTTTATGTAAATTACACCTCAATAAAATTGATTTAAAAAAACATATTAGTATAATACTGTCCTATGATTTGAAAGTTCCTTGTTCAAGGGCAATTTAACATAAAATTGATAGTACTTCCTTTTGCCTATGATTGAGATACTATCATTGATTTTAAAATAAAGCCTTGTAAATGCCATAAGTAAAGCTTTCATTGTGCATCCTATTTTTCAACTTGACATTTTCTAAATTTACCCAATACATATACACAAACACACACACACGGGTACTTCCAACAGTTCATGGAATATGGAATTAAAAGATAACAATCTTTCCATGAACTTTTTGAAGATTCCTCATATATCCCACGCTTGCACTAACCTTTTCAAGTAAATATGGATACATTATTTGGAGAAGTTAATGTAGAATGATATATTCACCAATCCTAGTCTGGAGACTAATGAGAGATGCTGTCAGCTATTAGTATTTGCATAATAATCCTGTCTCTAGCATTCTTAAAGCAGAAATTTCACTGTTTCCAGTCAAAGGAGTGAGAAATGATGTTGATTTACTGCTGACAACTGACATGAATAAGAGGTAAGCCTCACAAAGACCAACTGAAGACAGGTGAATGCAGTTTCTGGAGGTTTGATTAAAGTGCTTAAGCTCTCTTCTTTTTACTTGGTTTTCTTATAAGTAGGAAAATTAGAATTTCTGCTAAGGCTGTTGTGGGGGTCTGTAAGGCAACAGACTCTGAAGAATTGTAAGGTTTTCTTGTCTAATATGGTTTGCTGTGTGATGGAGTTCCTCAAAAAAGCAAATGTTAATCCCACAGATTAAGAACCTGGGGAAAGCTTCTTATATAGCAGAAAAACATATTAATTCCAACAGCTGCCAGAAGAATTCTTCTTAGGATAGTACCTGTACTCATTGGGAAAAAAAAAAAAAAAAAAAAAAAAAAAAAAAAAAAAAAAAAAAAAAAAAAAAAAAAAAAAAAAAAAAAAAAAAAAAAAAAAAAAAAAAAAAAAAAAAAAAAAAAAAAAAAAAAAAAAAAAAAAAAAAAAAAAAAAAAAAAAAAAAAAAAAAAAAAAAAAAAAAAAAAAAAAAAAAAAAAATCACACTGCTTAATGGCAGAAGCCCAGATATCAAAAGACCTGAGTACCAGATAATGTGAGGATGTAGTTGGGAGGAAGGCAGGAAATCCCAGGCTCCACCACCAGGGTATTCTCCCTGGGAGTTTACCCTCACAGCTTCAGGAAAACAAACAAAACCTGCTGGGTGTTGGCAGACTTCATAGGGAAACTGATGAAGGAAATGAATTCAGTGTTCAGGGTTTAGTGAGCAAAATGAAGATATCCTGCAGACAGGTGCATGGAAGTAAGCCACTTGAAATCACGGGAAGGACGGAATGGGCTTTTGACTAGCACTGGGCATTTAAATTGAAGTTGGGGCCAAATGAAGCAGATTTCTGTGTAGCAGGGCAACTTAGATGTTATAGTCAACATGTGAGTTACAATTATACTTGAGGTGGTATAGTGTACTATAGTGCTTAAAAGTCTCGATATTAGAATCGGATGAACCAAGTTCAAACCGAACAGATCTCAGCTGTACAGAATATGATAATGCCTTGCATATATTAGGTGTTAAGTGATATTTGCTGAATTTAAATAAAATACATTAGTCCCCCCTTACTCACAGTTTTCCTTCCTGTGGTTTCAATTATCTGCAGTCAACTGTGGTCTGAAAATTGGTGAGTACAGTACAAGACATTTTCAGAAAGAGAGAGAAATGTATTCACATAACTTTTATTATAATATGTTGTTATAATTGTCTATTCTATTATTAGTTGTTGTTGTTAATCTCTTACCATGCCTAATTTATAAATTGAACTTTATCATAGGTTTGTACACACAAGAAAAAACATAGTTTATATAGGGTTCAGTACTATCCAAGGTTTCTGGCATGCACTGGGGATCTTGGAACATATCCCCCAGAGATAAGGGAGACTTCTGTTAATCTTATCTTTCTGTCAATGTCAAAAGATTATTTATCATTAGAAAAAGGACAGACAGAGGATCCAAATATCAAAGCATCTGCTATTCACAAAGTGCCATTTCTTCTAAACTCCAACTAGAAGTAAAGCATCTCTTGTGTACTAGTGTGTAAACATATGCCCACTCATCACACAGTGCTTTACTTAGTCAAAGAAGATCCAAGCACAATTCCTGAAACAGACATAGTGCGTGGTGCCAGACAATTGACTTTTCTCCATTTCTATCATCTCACCATGCGTCAAAAGACTAACAACTGTGTGAATGTCACACTTAACCTTTTCAACATAATAGCCTCTTAAATATTTTAAAAGGTATGCAATATTCAAGGCATACAAAAAAGAGTGAAGAATAAACAGCATACAGGAACTGACCCAGTTACTGCAAAGAGTCAATAGCATGAAAAGACAAATGGGAGAGATGAACACCCTGGATTGAAAGAGAGTAAAGATCTAATGACTAAATAGCATGTGTGGACCTTATCTGGATCCAGATTGGAACAAATCAACTGTAAGAAAAAGGAATTTTAGAGACAATTTGGGGAAGTTTTTAATAGATTTTTGGTATACATAATACTAAGGAATTACTATTATTTTGGTTGGGTGATAATGGCATTTTTTTATGTTTTTAAAATGCTCTTATTTTGAGATATGTAGAATGTAGAAATAAAATGGTACGTTGTTTGGAATTTGCTTTAAAATATGTTTTATAAAGAAAGAGAAGAACAAAGATAGATTAAACAAATATGACATTTTTATATTAGTTAAACAGACAAGATGGGTACACAGGTGTTCATTTTACTAGGGCCCCTACTTCTGTGTATATTAAAAAAAAAAACATAACAGCACATTTAATGAAATATAGGTATAAATGCAACAAGTATACATGTATCTAAAAGAACTTTGGGAAAAAGAAATAGCCAGTTCCATTAAATTCCCTGTACCAATTACCTTCAGCCCCTACAGAAATGACTTCTGTAATGTTTTTGGTGTTTATTGTTCTCTTATTACTCATTATATTTTTACTACATATTTATGTATTCCTAATCCATATATCCTAGTGTTTTTTTTACAATTTAACAATTTTTATTGAAGTCAAAAGAATAAAAGCTATATCATGCCCACAAATAAAGAAACTGTATTTCACAGATACTCTAGTTTGCAATAATCTCTTCTATAGCTCCCCAGTATGTTCCAATACAAACAAATAAACTTACCCTTTAAGTAGAGAGGGCAAAGCATTAACTTTAAACACAATGGAAGATTCCCACACTGAGGTTCCGATCATATCATACAGTCAAGAACTACTCATTGTGTCTTCCATTTGCTGTGTTTGAACGTCTAGCATTTCAAATTGGTGTTTAAATTTATCCATCAAGGCAGAAACTTTTCAAGATTCATACTTCTCAATGTAGCATACATAGACTTAACTACATCTGCCATGGACTTTGTTACCTTGCCCATTGTTACATCAGTTTGAACTCTGGCTGCCACAGCACCAATTCTAGCACTCATTCTCAAAAAATTGATTGCTTGGTTTTTCTGGTCGATTGCATTTTCAGCATGTTTGATTGCAAATTCTGTATTGCCTTTCTGAAAGGCCTTTTTAATCTTGACCTTTTCAGCCTTTTCTTCGTCATCACATTTCTTGGTGTTCCTCTTAAGTTCGTTTGCAGCAAAGTCAAGTTAAATAAATGTTTCTGCATATTTGACATGGTCCCAGGACTTTTCTCAGGAGTCGAAGGCCTGGGGCTGCAGCACGGGTTGGAACAGAGGGTGCCCTCATATTGTTTTGTATGTTTTAAACTTTTATATAAATGGTATCCAATTGTATGTGTTCTTCTGCAGCTTGCCTTTTTTTGGTTGTCATGACATATGTGTGATTCATCCACATAGCTCCGAAATAGAGTCTTCCAAAAATATCTTCCATATTCTTTTCCTGAGCTAAACCAAAGTTTGTATCAGCATTGCAATATCTTCTATATGTTTCTACTGGAGTGCCTGCTCTGTTACCTTTATTCATAAGAGGTAGTGGAACTTCACTGAGTGGGGAATTTTGTGTAAAGTAATTCTTTCATTAATTAAAGGTTAACAGAATTTTGTTTCCTCCTAAACTTCACCATTTGTCTTTTAAAAAACTTTTCTAGAATATATTAACTTTTAGCTGTTAGCAAATATAGTTTTACTACCTCAGCAAATAAGTAAAATAAGTTTATGACTGCATATTAATTTTGTTGTTTCTACTATTGTAAGTGACTTGTAATTGGCCAATTCTAAAGATCTTGTAATATCTGTATCACCTTGCTCTGAACACAATAATAACAAAGGTGAGTACTCACAGTGTGTATAGTTCAGTGTATACATGATTTCTTATCTTGAATGGTCTTTGAGAAAGGCTCCAGTGAGCATTGTTGTATGCTGTCTCCTTCAGTGAGATTTGTCTGCCTATTTCCTTGAAGAAAAACAATCATGGTCTCCAAATGTTGGTGGATTTTTATAAAATAGTGCCTCTTAGGTATACTCTCAAACAGTCTTGGTCACATAGTAGATGCTCAATTAATACTTACAAATACTATTTTCCTTGGTTGGAAAATGCAGTGAGGATAGAGTCTATTGAACACATCAATTGATTATCACTGTAAGTATTTTCTCAAGGAGAAAAGATAAGAAATCAAAAAGTGTCAGAATGCATCTCCATTTCTAGTAGCTTCATGCATGTAGTGGGTTGAATTATGTCCCCGCAAAACTCATTGATACTTGAATTGTGTCCCCCAAGTTTTATGTATTAGAAACTTAGCCCCCACTGTGACTGTTAAGAGGGTGGGAAATCCTATTATGGTAATTGACAGGTGCAGCCTTGAAAAGGTGATTGGATTGTAGGACCATGCTGCAGTGAATGGATTAAAAATGGTGGTCACGGGTGTGGTTATGAGGGTTTTAAAAGAAGAGAGTCTGTCTTGCTCTCTCTCTGCTCTCTCTGCTTCCACCATCTTGCAATGTGAGTCCCCAGGGTCACTGTCCCCACCACCAGATGGACTTTGAGCTTCCCAGCATCAAACACTGTATGCAATAAATTTCGTTTTTCTTTATAAATCACCCAGTCTCAAGTATTTTGTTGTAAGCAACAAAAATGGACTAATACAATGCATAACTGACTTCAGGATAGTAAGGGGAATACAAAAGGAAAAGCGCCTCATCTTTGTTCATGCTCTGAGGCACTGGCAAACCTGCACCAGAAAGTTATTTCTTTTTGATATACAGCAAAAATTGACAAGAGCTTCTTGCTCCCTTGCCTAACAAGTTCTCTTATTAACTCACAGTGGCTCGCAGGAATCTATTTCTGCTTTCATCTTTCCAGAGACTGGACTTAATTGCATTTAGGTGTTTTGTGTATTTTTTTTATTTCTCTCTCTCTCTCCCTCTCTGTCCCTCTCTGTCTCTCCCTCTCTCTCTCTCTCACCTGCGCGCGTGCCAGAAACTCAGGTATCCTTTTCCCCTTGTTACATTTTGTTAACTGTGAAACATTATTTATCTCACCAGCAGTAATTTAATTGTAGATGTCCTCAGCCTGTTATTAATCATCTCTACTGTGACCAGGAGACAAGCTTTGTAGGTACTACTTTTGGTCCATAATTTCTAATAAGAGATTATTTTTATTGTAGTTGGTCTGCCATCTGAAAAAGACAATTTTCAAAGCCCACAACCCTCTCTGTTAGAAGATTCTCTATTAGGCATAGTCTAGAGGTACTTTTTTATGTCCTTTGATTTTGTGCTTCCAATTCTCTCCAGTACATGTATAAGTTTTGGAACTGAGATTCCATGCATTCCGTGCTGTTGAAAACTTTCTTCAAAATATATGATTATGATGTAATCTATTATTGTGTAAGAAGCCTTATGTTTATCCCACATCCCAACCTGATGCATTTACATGACTCATTTTGTGTGTGCCCACATGCATGCAAGCGAATTCAGACATAAACAGGCTTTGACCCTTTCCTGATGTAATTTTTTTCACTTCCACTCTCATTCCCTAATCTATATCCCTTGCTCTCTTCTCTGACTTCTCAGTGTCACAGGACTATTCTTTTTGTTTGTCTATTTGTTGCAGCGTTTGTCCTTATGAACCATTTGGCCATGTTTCTATTGCTTAGCATTTGGCGCCTTCACATAGACTCATATTTATTAGCCTTCTTCTGGACCAAATTTTCATAGCAATTGGTAAAAACGGTTTTCAACTTTTTCAGTCTACTTGGTTTATGACCTATTTTGACTAACTTTCTGCACTATGCCAAAGAGAGAAGACAACTTACTCATGAGTTTTATCTTCGGCTTGTAGGATAGAATGACCAGCATCCTTTAGCAAAGGAGGAGGATTTAATATAGCAATGCTCTCTTCCATTAATCGTGTCAGTGAGTTGTACATGCTATGGAAATGTAGGAACACTCATGGGACATTTTAACCTTCTGAGGAAATGGTTAGCACAATTCTATAACATATCATTTTTATTTTAGTGTAAATGTATGTTAACCAAACATTAATAATTCATAATATTTCAGTTACTTTGCTGAGTGTTGAGGTTGAAGCTCTCTCAAGAAACTTAATTTTTCACCAAAAAATTCTATTCCAGAGGATGTTAATGTGTTATGTGCAAATAAACAAATAAAAAAGGTTCCATGGTTAAATGAGTTTGGGAAAAGGCAAATTAGATGTAATTAATTTTCTTGTCTGCAGGATATCTGAGAGCCTTTAATCCACTTGCCTTCTAATTCTTACCATAAAAGTGTGTCTCAATGTTACTTCACCAAGAAATTCTTTATTTCTTGATTGTCTCACTGGACTAGTGTTCCTCAAAATATGCTTTGGGAAGTGCTAGTCCTGTGTATGCAACCATTATATCATGGTAGGTTGGTGCCATTATGATTTTTTGCTTCTTTTTATCCTGGGAATACTTTTTGCCTTTAAAATTGTCTGATAACTAGCATAGCCATTCCAGCCTTCGTGGGGTTACTATTTGTATGGCAGATATTTTTACATCTATTTACTTTCAGTCTCCCTGTACTTTCTATTTAAAGTGTGTCTCTTGAGACAGCTTATATTTATAATGATTCTGACCATCTCTGCCTTTTAATTTATGGGCTTATCTTATTAAAATTTAATATAACTATTGATGTGATTGTGTTGGGTATACAATGTTATTATTTGTTTTCTATTTGGCCTTTTGTTTTTTGTTCCTCTGTGATTCATATTTGTATAACTACCTCTCTCTTTGTTTTGTTCATAGTAGGTATTCAATAAAAATTTGTTGAATTAACTAATTAACTGTGCCTTCCTCTGTGAACTTACCAGACTCTTCCAGAACATGTAAAATTTTTCTATCTTCTGTACTCCTACAAATTTTTTAGAAATATCAAAACATTTCTTATAGGCACTGGAGCTTACTGCTAAAATATTTCTAAGCCTGACAAGACTCCTAGGATACCTCTGATACTTAAAAAAGGTATGAGATATTTGAGCACATACAAAAGGAACACTGAGTCATTTTTCAGCATTACAACTGCTTATAATGGGATGTGGATTCTCATTAAAATTGTTTTAAAATTGGTTTGGAAGCAAAATGTTATAAAAGAGGTTAGAGTGACTTGTAATATAACTGTACCTTCTCCAGTGGTATCAGCTTATGATTTTCATCCAATAGAACATCCCACATGTCTGAAAATCAGACGGTCTCTGCACTCAACATATTATTTTTATGATTCCCAAGGCTGCCACAAGTGCTGAGTGGACCACAAAATGGTGATAGTTAGAGTGTTGCATTATACGGTAGTTACTTACTTATGTGTTTTTCTTATTCTCCAGATTGTCCTCTCTTTGAGGAAAGGACTAAAGTCTTTTTATGTTTATATGTTAATTTATATGTTTATCACTATTGCTTTGCATGTGCCTTGCAGAAAATAGATATTCAAACATTTGGATTAATGAATTAATTAATGGATATAATTTCAAGAAAATCTGCTGAAATGTAATACTGATGTACATATATATTTGTTTCTAACAGGGGAATCATAGCAAGGATGTTCATATTGAAACACTTGAAGCCAGTGCAGTACACTACATGGTATGGGATATTTGAGCATATACAAAAAGAACACTGAGTCACTTTTCCACCTTAGCAGGATTTGCACCCAAATTTTTGTTTTGAAATATAGAGAAAAATATTACATCTTTCAGTAAAGGCCCCATTTCATATTGCTCCAGTCAAAAATCTGTGGGTAATTTTGAAAGGATCTGAGAGCTAATTCTACCATCTAATGCCTCAGATTGGCCACAAAGAAAGTGTGTGTGTGTGAGTGTTTGTGTGTGTGTGTGCAAGGGGGGGAAGAGAGGGGGGGGAAGACAGGAGAGGAGAGGAGAAAAGGGAAGGGAGAAGAGAGAAGTGAAAATGAGGAAACATAAAGTGCTCGTGATGGAAAACCTTACATTTTTTTCTTCCTGATATCAGTGACATTATTTATATAGGAAAGGAGGTAAAAACTGGTTCTAAGTGGAGGTCCAAAAATGAAAAGAAGTATTTCCTAGCTCTGCCAATACGGCGGCAGTGGTCAGGTCTTCCTTAAATATTGATAGTCTGGAAAAAAGGAACAATTCAAAATCAAAATTGATGCAGAATATAAGCTCCCCTCAAAACTCTTAAATTTTTTATGCCTAAAATCTTAACTTGTTG